GGGCGGCGGTGTGGGGGCGGAGCCTGGGGACGGACACGGCGGGTTGTGGGGCGGAGCCTGGGGCGTGACGTGACGCCAATTCTGGGACGGGACGCTGGTGCGAAGGCGAAGCCCAGCGGGCCGGGAGGGGGCGTTGTGGCCCGCCTTGGGGCGGGACCGAGATCGACGTCTGGTGCGGGGGCGGGGCGCAACGCGGTTGGGAGTTCCTGGCGCCGGGGCGGGACTCAGCGCCGGGGGCGGTCCAGGGTACCAGGCTCGGCGCAGCGGCCGAAGCCCGGAAGCGGACCGAGGCTGCTCTCAGCTCCCCGGTTCTACCCGCCATGGGCGAAGCTTACCGCCGTGTTTCCCTTATGGCTTCGAACCAGAGAATCCCAGCCATAATCTCGAGTGTTTGCTGGAGCCGCTCCATGGTGTACGCTGCTAGGGCTCGTGTTTCCTGCGAGGAAGGGGGCGTGTGTGGTTTTCCTTCTCTAGTGTAGAAGTTCCAGACACCCCTTTGGCTTCAAACTGCCTGGGAGTGTGTCCTTGTGCAAATCACGCGTCCTCTTTGAGCCTCAGTGATAGTGTCATGAGGGCTAAATACGTTGTGAAACAGTGTGATGCCGGGAGTAGAGGAAGCGCTCGACGTGCGCTGTCTTTGGCCCGCTATATAGTCAGTTTGTTTCCTAAGGGTCTGGGAAATGAGGGGGCCAAAGACAGCGCACGTCCCCTGCAGGTAATGGAGATAATAATAAGGTCAAACCTTTGTGATTTTCTTTTTTCACTTTCATATCTTTCATTTGGTCCTCACCGCAGGCCTGTGAGGATATAGCACTGTTTTCTACTGTGAGGTGCAGTGATGTGAGTGCTTGGCTTGGCCCAGTTAAGGAGTCTTTAACAGGAGAATGTGGTCAAGGGTCATATGGGTAATTAACCGATTAGCAGTGAAAGAGTCTATGAGCACTTGCTGTGTGGTGGATACTGGGGAATGAAAGTGGTTTGAGGCCTCGGTCTTGCCTTCAGACATATTCACAGGGATGGTAAGTTCAGTGTCACAGAGGCCCCCGTGGGCACTGTGGGCAGCCTTTATACGGCCCCACCTCAGCTGAGCCGGTCATCTGAGCATGATCCCAGCAGCATGCCGGCCCAGTGCTGCAGATATTTCACATTCGTAAAAGTTTATTTTATTCATGATAGTGAGTGTGTGTGTACGAGAGAGAAGGGACCATCCTCATGAGTCTCCTGCCACGATCCCTTCCCCCAGCTGTCTGGGGTGCTAGGATCCTGGGCATCTGTGCCCTGGGTACATTTCAGGTTGACTTGGCCAGAGCGCTAACCTCGTGGTTGGCCGAACGGCTTTCCACACTGTGGGTTGATATGCTACCGACTGTGCCATTAGATTGGTCCTCTTTCACAGTGTGAGAGAATCTGCCCCGACTTCAAATATTAGTAGCAAATCCAGAATTTAAAGTAAAAGCTTGTGACCAGCAGATGGTGTAACAGTTACATCACTGGACTCCCCTATACTCGACTGTGGTTCAAGTCCCAGACCCAGTGACTTAAACTCACGCTGGGCCTGTGTACATGCGTGCCCAAAATTCCAAGAGGAGAATGAAGAAGGGATTGCGGTGTGGTCATCACCCCGAGGTGGTGGTGGTGTGATTTCTCACTTTCTATCTGTCTCTCCAGTGAGTGCACGTGTCCTATAGCAAAAACAAATTTTTCTCCCCCCCAAAAAAAGAGAGAGAGAAGCTCTCTTTGCTGTGTCTGCATCCCCACCAGATGTCTGCTTCTTGAGATCTGAGACTGCTCGCTGCCGCAGTAGATGTTTCCACAATACCGAATGTGTAGACAAGCAAAGGCTGCTGACTCGCGTACGCCCAGTGAGCCTGCTGGCTCGCGTGTACACACACAGCTGATTGTTTAGACTTACCCTGGGTGGGAAATGGGGGTCAAGTTAAGGGCCAATATGAACACATATGAGTGATTAGTGTCTTGTCTTTCTTTCCAAACAGCAGGCAGGCTCTGGGTCTCGGGGCGATCAGGCCAGGCAACTGGTCACAGATCTAGAGACCCGAGGGAGTCAGGCCCTTCCTCTGTTCATCTCCTGCCTGGAGGACACAGGCCAGGACTCTCTGGCTTCACTCCTACGAACGAGTAGGCAAGCAGCAAAGCGGGATCCGGAGGCCATCAGATCCCTGGACCTTGTGTCTGTGGAACTCAAACCAGAAGAACTGAGAGGGGTGAAGCATCCATCAAAGCCAACCCAGGGAAACCTCACCCCAGTGGTGCTGGGGCCCGAGGAGCTCTGGCCCCCCAAGCTCAGACCGGAGGTTCTCAGACCAGAAGTCTCTAGGCCAGTGGATGTTGGTCCTGGAGGATTCGGTGATGGCTGTGAGTATTTTTAAAAATTTTATTTATTCATTCATTTCTTTTAATTTGACCAAAGAGAGACAGAGAGAGAGAAAAAGAGAAAGCCAGCTACCAGGTCCAGGACTTGAACCGTACTTGGCCATGTGGGAGTGTCTAGTGCTTTAACCACCACACTGCCTGCTGGTCCCCATGGCTGTGAGTATTGAGAGAAGGGTTGGTGGGCAGGCAGATGGGATGAGTGGTCACTGGGAAGTTGCACAGCTGGTACAGCTGGGTAGGCTGAAATGTAAAATTTAATTTTGCTGTTGTCTGTCTGTCTGTCTTTCTTCCTTCCTTCCTTCCTTTCCTTTTTTGAGAGGTTTTTGTTATAGTGTGCCATGTGCTCGCCAGAAAGACAGAGAGAGACTAAGAGACAGAAAGCGAGAAATCATCCCTCAGGGAATGGCCACGCCGCAATCCCTTCTCCTTCATTCTCCTCTCAGGATCTTGGGTACGCATGCACACATGCCCAGTATGAGTTTAAACCACCGGGTCTGGGACTCGAACCGCGGTTGACTACATGGGAGTCCAGAGACCTAGCCATTACACCAACCGCTGGTCCCTTGCTGCTGTCTTTCTGGGTGTTCATAGGGATGGGTAGAATATTCTGAGGGTCTTCAGGAGATTTAATTCTGGCAGCCTCTCCTCTGGAAGGCATGTGCCGAAGTCTGTTTTGGATGTGCAAGGTCTCAGTGTTTCCAGCCCAGCTGTTTTTGAGAACTTGCCGTTGAGTCTGAGTCTGGTGGGGAAGTGGGACTATCCTGTGTCTGGGGATGGGAGTAAGGTCTCTCTTTGTCGAGTGTCTGCCAGCACCTGCATATGTGGTAGAAGCCCTTCCATCCTTCTCTCACTGACAGCCCTGCAAAAGAGGTATCACTGGACCCATCCTTATTAATGAGGAAATTGAGGTTCAGGGAACTTAGATAATTGGCATGAGGGCACAAGGCTACATCCAACATAATGGATAAATCTCAGGAAAATGGCTGGATGATTTCTACTTATGTGTACACACAGGTAACTAATACCCGGGTCATGAAGGCATGAACATCCAGGTGTCCTGTGGGACTCTCTTGCCTCCTCCATCTTGTCCCACTCCTCCTCACCCAGGGTAATTGCTGTTCTGAGCTCTATCACCGTAGACCCCTTGTGCTTATCTTGAACTTGAATATAAATGAAATCCTACCATATGTACTCTTTTGAGTCTGACTTCTTTCACCCATCATTACGCCAATGAAATTCATTTGTATTGTTGTGCATATCAGTAGTATGGATTTGTTCAACCTTTTTATTTTTTTTTTTAAAGAACTGCTTATTTAATTTTATTCATTATTATCATTATTTTTAAATTCGCTATGAGGCACATGAGTGCACCAGAAAGAGAGAGAGAGAGTGGGTGAAAAAGTAAACCACTAGCTAGGACTCAGATGGCCTGGCCATGTGGGAGTCCAGTGCCTTAAACACCAGGCCACTTGCTGGCCCCTCATCTTCTTTTTTTTTTTTTTGAGAGGTTTTTGCTATAGGGCGCGTGTGCTCGCCAGACAGACAGAGAGATAGAAAGCAAGAAATCACCCCCCAGGGGGGATGGCCATGCTGCAATCCCTTCTCCTCCATTCTCCTCTCGGGATCTTGGGCACGCATGCACACGTGCCCGGTGTGAGTTTAAGCCACCGGGTCCAGGACTCAAACCGTGGTTGACTACATGGGAGTCCAGCGACATAGCCATTATGCTAACTGCTGGTCCCCTCCTCATCTTCTTTTGATGGACATTATATGTTGTTTCTACACTGGCCTTCCAGGTGCAGTTGTCTGACTAGGGAGTATGGTTTGAGAAAGGGGATTTCTCTAGACCTTTTCTAAGTCTTCTGGTTTACTAGAGCATCTCGACCATCATCCCTGATGCTGCTGAGGGATGTCCTTTCCAGGTGTGAGTGTTAGGCTGCTGAGTACTGCACAGAAATATTTCTCAAGGTAAGTTTCAAGGGGACTCACCAAGGAAGAGTCCTGAGGTCCAGAACTCTGCACAGGTTACAGCAGTAAAATGTGGTGCTCTGTGAGGACGACCACACAGGAAAGTTTCAGACTTACATTTGTAGACCTCCCTGAGTGCTTTGAGCATAGGCATGCTCATGATCCAGGTCTGGCAGGGGTAGGGGTGGATTGGGGCATCAAGACCCTGTTGGGGGCACTGTTTCTCTGTCTCTTCTTCTCTGTCTCTCGCTTATAGAAGAAATGAATAAATTTAAGAAAAAAAAAAAGAGAAAAGTTCAGTAATCATATAAGTGGGAAAATCTGGCTGAACATGGGGGAGGATTGCAATGTGAAGGCCCTGTCATGGGTACTTTGTCTCTCTCTCACTCATGGAATAAATAAACTAAAAATAAAACAAAACAAAAATCTAATCTCACCCAGAAACAATCTCAAAGATACACCACAAAATAAATTTAACCGAGTATCTGGGCACCCTGTGATCCAGTCAAGGTGCGTTTTAACATTAGCCATCACTGTGGCTTTCTCTGCTCTGCCTTACTTGGGTAGGAACTGCCTTAAAAGTGGAAGTTGACTTTTCAGCCCTACCTGCTTCTTAGGGCCTTTCTTCTGGGACTTCTGTACGTAACTACTCGTTACTTTAAAGCTCTGAGTCTCCTCTGGCAAATGGAGATAGGTGACAGTACTTATTATTTATTTTTCTGGAGAGGTTTTTGCTATAGGGCGCGTGCGCTCGCTGACAGACAGAGACAGAGAGACAGAAAGCGAGAAATCACCCCCAGGGAGGATGGCCACGCCATAGTCCCTTCTCCTCCATTCTCCTCTCGGGATCTTGGGCACACACGTACACGCACCTGGCGTGAGTTTTAAGCCACCGGGTCTGGGACGCGAACTGCTGTCGACTACATGGGAGTCCAGCAACATAGCCATTATGCTAACTGCTGGTCCCGACAGTACTTATTTTTTGCAAGGACTGCTGTGATGAGTGAGTGAGGTAGCATGTGGAAAGGACTTCACGGGCTTTGCATTGCGTGAGCACTTGGTCAGTTTGGTAGCTCCACTTCCTTTGTGGTTTCTGAATTGCCAAGGGCTGCTGGTGGAAATGCGACATCTACGTCATTCCACTTGGGCAGCAGTGAGGATGTACTTTCCTTCCTGTGTTGGAGACACGAGCATATGTCCAGTGACTCTCTCTGGTGACTGTTTTTTTTTTTTTTTGAGAGATTTTAGCTATAGGCCCCCCGGCTCTCCAGAGATACAAAAAGTGAGAAATCATCCCCCGGGGGGAATGGCCACATTGCAATCCCTTCTCCTCCAGTCTCCTCTCAGGATTTTGAGCATGCATGCATATGTACCCAGCATGAGTCTCAAACCATCAAGTGTGGGATTTAAGTGCAGTTGGCCATGTGGGAGTCCAGTGCCTTACCCACCCATGCCACCTGCTAGCCCGATGACTTATTCTTTTCTACACATACTTAACCTTGCATGAGAGCTGTCCCCATGGGAGCTGCCATTTTGGGAGAAACTGTTTCAATGCATAGTGTATCTGACCGTGTCATGCTGTGCCTCCTAGCCTTTGTGCTGTGCCCTCTGCCTGGAATGCCTTTCTTACTGTACAGGGAGGCTAATCTGAGCAAACATGGTGACCTTTAGACACATGCAGAAACACGGTTCTATGGACAGTCATTTGCAGGGTCGTAAATGCCATTAACATGTGAATATGCTAGTTGCCCATGTTTCTGGAACTGCAATCAGTATCGGTTAAAGGAAGCCACATGTGTTAATCAGAATTGAACTGAGAAGATTAGAGAAAACTTGGGAACCAGCAGTTAGCGTAATGGCTGTGGCGCTGGACTCCCACGTAGTCGATCGCAGTTCGCGTCTCGGACCCGGTGGCTTAAAACTCATGTCGGGTGTGTGTGCGTGCATGCCCAAGATCCCGAGAGGAGAATGGAGGAGAAGGGATTGCGGCATGACCATCCCCTCAGGGGGGTGATTTCTTGCTTTCTGTCTCTATGTTTCTCTCTGGCAAGCGCCCGCCCCCTGTAGTGAAAACCTCTCCCAAAAAAAAAAAAAGATTAGAGAAAATTTACATAGAACTACATGATGACAAGTGTATTCACATCTTCAGTCTATTAATGTCTGAAAACAACTGGTTATGCATTCCCCTTCCCTTCCCCCCCCCTTCTGCCCTTTAAAAGAATAAACCTGGAACTGGCTCAAGGTCGCAGGACACGTTTGTTCAGATGTGCAGAACACGGCATGTGGTGCCCAACATGGGGCATGAACCCAGGATCCTGAGATTAAGGGTCTTATGCTCTACACACTAAATTAGGAACAAACCACTGCCCTTTGGCCTAGAGCTCCCCTACTGTGACCCACTGCTTCCTAGTCAAACCTGCTTGCATATCAAAGAGTGCTACCAGAGAAAGGACATCCCCCACTTTAACCCTCCTCCAGAGAGCCTTGCATTACGTGGCAGATAGAGGAGAGGACAGGATGTTTTGGGATTTAGGTGATGTCCCGTTATAGAGACTCCAGACCCTGACAACCAGGGACAAAATCAGTGTCCATGTGAGCTGATATCTTTTAAAACTCTAGAAGAACTAAAGACGACTTGCACACAGCATGGTCCAAAGGTGGTGTTAGAGAGGGCTACTCAGTCTGCATTTAAGCCTAATGACTGGTGAGTGTTAGGCAAGGCAAGCTTGCTGGGAGGAGATTGTCTTTTGGAAGTTGGATTGGTCTGAGGAAGCCTGAGAGCAGGCGAATAGGAATCAACAACATGAAATATCTATCACGTTTGAAATGTTGCCTGGAATGGGAGCATGCCAGTACTGGTGCCCGAATTGGCTATATACCACAGGCATTTCAGCAGATTAACATTATGTGCTTGAGATGCTGGAGGAAGCTTCTCGGTCAGGATCGAGGGACACGGCACCTTGCCTCTTTCATTTTTAAAAAATTTATTCCATGTGAGAGACAGCAGCCCTCATAGGTCCCAATGCGATCTACTCCCCAGCCTCAGCTGGCTTGGATCATGGGCACATACATGTCCTTGTACTCAGGGAGGTTGGCCTCAGACTGGCAACCTTCTCATGTAGTCTTCCTCACAGAGTGTTGTGTTCTACCACTCTGCAATTTGGCCCCGCTAACTCTTTTGAGGGACACTAAGATTTTTGTTTGTTTGTTTGTTTCTGCCATAGGGCTCATGTGCTTGACAGAGAGAGAAAAAAAAAAATGAAGAGTGAGAAAGTGAGAAGTCACTCCCCAGGGGATGGCCATGCTGCATCCCTTCTCCTCCATTCTCCTCTTGGGATTTTGAGCTTGCACGCACATGTACACAGCATGATTTTCAAGCTGCTGGGTCCAGAACTCAAGCTGTGGTTGGCCGTGTGGTAGTCCAGCACCTTACCCACTATGCCCCCTGTTGGCCCCCTTTTAGCACTTGGTTGATTTGCTCCCTCCACGCACCCCCGTGGACCCTTAGAGAGCAGCCATTTTGTTTTGTGGTGCCTTCGTGCTAATTCAGGGAATGAGTGAATTCCTCTGTAGTGGATAGCTGTTATGTTTTTGGGTCATGGTGGAATTTTGGAAATGAGCAAACATTATCAAAATTATATCTGTGAACCAAAAAAGTCTTTGGTTCAAGGTAAAACCATGTCTGGGTGGAAAAATGGGATGTGACTGCTTTTAAACTGGCAAGAGAATCGTTCCCAGCAGGAAGACGAGACACGCTAAGCAAGGAATGGGACCCTCGTTGGGACAGGACTAGACTCCACTAGAAGAAAAAAAATCTCATGACTTTGTTGGCTGGTGATCAGTTGCATTTTTGCTAGTTGACATGAAAAGTCTTTGGACATTGAAGGAAAGTGACCTTCTTTCCTCCTTTATGCACTCTGTGTGCTGGGCCCTACGCACCCTGCAGACAGGAGTATCTGCTCTCTCGGAGCTTTCCTTACCCCTTTCTGTTCTGAAATGTTGTGTAATGAAATGCCTTTGCCTTTGCTCTGTGTCTGTTTTTCGCACAGTGGGATGTTTTCAACGTAGTCCATGGCATTGCACGAATCGGTAGCTTGTTCCTTGTCGTGCTGTGTGATGTTGCCTCGTGTGGAGGTGTCCCAGTTTGTCTCTCCATCAGCTTCTGGCTGGGTTGGTTGTTTCCAGCAGGGGCGTAATGAGTAAGTGGACATTTTTGGCCACGTCTTCTTATGCCCACACGCGCTCATTTCTCTTGGACGTTATGTACTTACAGGTGGGCTTGCTGGTCAGGGGAGGCGTGTGTTGCTTTTATTAGAAACTTCCAGACAGTTCTCCAAGGTGACTGGACTGCTTGGCTCTCTCACCTCCAGAGCTGGAGGGTCCCTGAGTTCCTGCACCTCTCTGATTTCGCAGGGGTGTCCTCACATAGTCCCTGGCCTCTCCTCTTAGACCCCGACATTCATGCTTCCCTGTCTCTGTCCCTGCAGGTGCTCAGGGGAGCTCAAGGGGAAATGCAGACTTGGTGAGTCTTCATGGGGCTCAGACCCGTGGCCTGGGCTCTGGGCCTCTGCTCTCCACCCTGCCACTTTTCCCTGCAGCTGTATCTGGAGCCCAGGGAACCAACCTGGCTGGGGAGTGGGGTCTCGGTCCCTGCCTTTCATGGCCCCCTGACCCTGTTCTGTCCCCCCTGCTGTCCCTCCCCTGTCACAGTCTCAGGGTTACACCTAGCAAGGGTGGGCAGCAGCCTCAGCGGTGGCACCCCCCATACCAGGTCACTACTCCCTCACCCATGTGTCAGTGGCTCTTGTGTGCCAACCCTGGGCTCCATGCTGGGGCTTCCTGGGAAGAGACCACACGTGCCTCTAGCCCTTGTGGGCTGTCAGTCTCACAGAGAGAGAAGTTAGGCAAATGAGCGTGTATCTTCATACAGCGTAAGTGCCCTAAATCCGGACGGCTGCTCTGGGAGACAGTTACCAGGGAATGGGTCTGGGAGGGAAACAGCCTCTGACGCTCCGGGGCTGGGCCTGGGCACAGTCTGTGACAGCTCTCAGGAGCGCCTGGGTGGGAGCCACTGGACTGAGTGACAGTAAGGCCTTTTAGGGTGGCTGTGTAGGGGCTGTTGGGTTTCTCAGCCAGCAGCTGCCATCGCTGAACCCTGAGGTGGGAGCTCATTGGCTCTCCAGGGTAGCCGCATGGCTAGCGCGTGCCCGCCTGTCTCAGCGGGCTCCGTTCTCTTCTGCCTGGACTGCTGGGTGGAGGCCCTGCTGCTCCTCCAGGGGAGGGCCGGCCCCGCTCTCTGTCCCATCCCTCCAGACAGTCAGGTGAGAACCAGGGTGCTCTCCCTAGGGGTGCCGTGAGGCCCTGGGCTCACACGGATTCCCGTTTGGGCAGGCGTACGTCCTGGACGCGGACCCTTGTGGCTACTGCCTGGTCATCAACAACGTGAACTTCTGCCCCGAGTCAGGGCTCGGCTCCCGCACCGGCTCCAACGTGGACTGTGAGAAGGTGCAGCGCCGCTTCCGCCTGCTGCACTTCATGGTCGAGGTGCAGTGCGACCTGACCGCCAAGGTACAGTCCCCGTCCATGGAGGGCGCTGGGACAACAGCACTGCCCTGCGAGGGACTCCCCCATGAGCCCTTACCTCTGCAGGACTGTGGGAGGCAGTGTGGCCAGGTGGTTCCAGGTTTAAGCTGCAGACTCAGACATGTCTGGGTCTGAGGACTGGCTCGTGGCTACCTGACCTGTGCCTGTTTCCTTGTCTAGAAAGCAAGAATGAATGATTCCCGCCTCATCGAGTTGTCATGAGGATTAAACAAACTGCCCTAGTATGGCACCCTTTCCCCAAGACTCGTGGCTGTTATCACGGTGTGGCTTGTTTCTTCAGTGCTGGCCCTGGGAGCAGGGAAAATACTCTCCCCAGGCCTGCTGACTGGGCCCTCGCTGCCTGGAAGGACCAGAGCAGGGCCTGCCCGTCGATGCTTCTGGCTCACCTGCCACTTTCTCTTGTAGAAAATGCTCCAGGCTCTGGTGCAGCTGGCACAGCGGGACCACGGCGCTCTGGACTGCTGCGTGGTGGTCATCCTCTCCCACGGCAGTCAGGTGGGAGCCCCCCCACAGCCTGCTCCCTGCCCCTGTTCCTTCCTGTGTCCAAAAACCCTCTTGGCTTTGTGGGAAAGACCTGCCCACCTCCTGTGTTTTCTTGGGAGCCATCTGGTCCCCCGAGCATGTGCCTTCCTGGGTGGGGTGGTGTTCCTGGGAGGCAGAGAGGGGGACAAGTTCTGCCACCGAGCTCCTCCCCCGGATTTTGTTCAGAGCCCATAGGGCTTGCAGAGTCCTTAGCTTCTGCCCTGGACCTCTGGGGTGTTCCAGGCCCTTTGCTGCTGGCTGGCACTCAGGACGCCGGGACCCACTCTGGGCTTGGTTACCGACGTGCTGGGTCATCATAGCCAAGCTCCTACCACTTCAGGGCTCAGTCTCCTTCCTCATCTTGTAAATCGGGGAGTTGGACAGATCAGCAGTCACCGGCTGCAGCTGTAGTTCCCTGTGGCCTGGCAGATTTCAGGTGTGTCCTGCTTTCTAGAGTGGGCTGGAATTGAACTTGGGCCTCCCAGGTGACCTCAGCCTGGTGAGCGGCAGTGTCTGGTGTGCTACAGTGGCTGGGCACGAGAATCAGTTCTTCCAAGTTCAAGGTGGTGCCGATGCTGCGGGTCCTGGGGCAGCGCTGTGAGAAGCCCTGGACTAGCGGTTAGGCCCCAGCCCCTACACTCTCATGGGTTTGAGCTCCCTTGAATAGATGCTGATCAGGGATGTCCCAGAACCAAGCTGCTCCATCTAAACCGTGTGTCCCTGTCTGGGGCCTTCTGAATTTGGGGCTCCCATGAAGCCTCTGAACAGGCCATTTGCTTTTTTTCCAGCCTCTTAATTTTTTTTCTTGGAGACATTTTTGCTATAGAGCATGCATGCTTGTCAGAGAGACAGAGCGAGAAATCACTCCTCAGTGGGGGATGGCTACACCACAATCCCTCCTCTTCCATTCTTCTCTCGGAATTTTCGGCATGCACGCACACATGCCTGGCATGAGTTTTAAGCCACTGGGTCTGGGACTTGAACCACAGTCAACTACCTGGGAGTCCAGTGATGTAACCATTATGCCATGTGTTGGTTCCAACAGTATTTTTTTTTTAAAGAGATTTTTGCTTTAGGGCATGTATGCTCGCTGGAGAGACAGAGAGACAGAAAGTGCATCCTGTGTGAAGCTTTTACTTATTTATTTTTTAAGAATTATTATTTTTAACTTAATTTTTAAAAAATTTGACCACAGAGGGATAGAGTGAGAGGGAGAGAGAGCAAGAGAGAAAGTGAGAAAGCAAGCCACCAGTTCCGGCACTCCAACCGCGGTCAACTGTGTGGGAGTCTGTACCCTTAACCACCATGCCACCTGCCAGCCCCACACACTGCGAGTTTTAAGCTGCCAGGTCTGGGACTCAAACCACGGTTGCCCATGTGAGAGTTAAGCACCTTAACCACTATACCACCTGCTGGCCCCTTGTAACCAGTGTTCTTTGTCACCTAGGTCAGCCATTTCCAGTTCCCGGGGGCCGTCTATGGCACAGATGGGTGTCTTGTGTCTGTTGAGAAAATCGTGAACATCTTCAATGGGACCAGCTGCCCCAGCCTCAGAGGAAAGCCCAAGGTGTTTTTCATCCAGGCATGCGGTGGGGGTAAGCAGCTCCTCGGCTTCTGGGATGGATCTGGTGGGGATGAGCCGCCACCTGCTGCTTCTCCATCCAGCCCCTTGGTGTTCATGGGCTCTCTCCAGGCAGTCAGGGGGTCCCGACATCACTGCTGTCTGTCTGGCCTCACCTCCACCAGACTAGGGCAGGCCTCTGCTCACCTACTTTATGGAGATTGGAGGCTTCTGTCTCACGAAGCAGCAGCCTTGTGGGCTTGGGTAACTTCGACAGTGCCTATGCCAAGGACTTGGCCAGAACTAACCAACCAAGCAGAGCAGGGAGGATAGCCGGTGTTTCCCTGCCCTCGTCCTCATCCCCCTGAGCTCCTTCAGCTCGGCCCCTTCCCACCGTCCCTGAGAAGGGAGATTCCTGCAGAATCCAGTTACTAGAATCCCTAAGAGCCCAAGTCCTGAGGACTCAAGGAACTCTCAAAGGTTACCTAGATCCCTTCAGTTTTACTCTATGCCCTGATTAAAAACGGACCCCTACTTCACTGTTGCCTCATTTTCTTTTAAAATGAAGAAAGAGGAGAGAGGAAAGCTCTGGATTTCCTGGCTTGTGGGTCATGATAGCAACAGTAGGGAACACGAGGCATTCTCTCCCCGGAAGTCCCCTCTGCCTGGGCGGTCCAGGGCCTGGGACATCTGAAAGGCATTATCAGTTCCTGCCTCCTTACCCGAAGTGACCTTATTATACCACAGAGCTGTCAGTTTGTCCAGGCGGCACTGCACACACTAGCCCCTGTGACGTGGATATGGCTGGTGTGTTTCTTTTCTTTTTTTTAAGGAATTATTTAATTTAACCTTTATTTATTTATTCATTTATTTCATATTAATTTGACATTAATTTGACTAGAGAGGAGCAGAGTGAGAGAGAGAGAGAGAAAGAGAGAGCACGTAAGAAAGCAAGCCACCAGGTCCGGGATTTGAACCGTGGTTGACTGTGTGGGAATCCAACACCCTTAACCACCATGCCAGCTGCTGGCCCCACTGCTGGTGTTTCTTGTGCACTTGTTCACCTGTCTCACGCTGCTCCACTTTGGCAGGGTATGGTGGCCCACAGCCAGGCAGGGACTCTGGTCACATTGTTCTTCCAGTCAGGGTTTACTGAGCACCTGTACTCACCGGGCTGGGGTTTGGTGCTGGGATAGCAGGAGTCTCTGTGCTTGGAATGTATAGTTTGACATGAACCGTATCGGGCACTGTCACGACCCATGCTTGTAACCTGGCCACTGGCGATCGAGAACACTGGGCTAAATCCTGGCTTGGCTACGTACTCGCTAGAGGTCCCAGCACATGGGCCGTAACAGCCTACCTTGTGGCATTACTGTGATTACTGTGGTAGTGTTTGGTGCACTGTTGACCGTGTGTACTGTGCAACGGTTCTTTTTTTTTTTTTAAGAATTACTTTATTTGGGACCAGCAGTTAGCATAATGGCTATGTTGCTGAACTCCCACGTAGTCGACCGTAGTTCGAGTTCCGGACCTGGTGGCTTAAACTCATGCCAGGTGCGTGTGCGTGTGTGCCCGAGATCCCGAGAGGAGAATGGAGCAGGAGGGATTGCGGTGTGGCCATCCGCCCTGGGGGGTGATTTCTCACTTTCTGTCTCTCTGTCTCTCTCTGTCTTTCTGGCAAGCACACGTGTCCTATAGCAAAAACCTCTCCAA